GAAATGCCCTTTGGTGGCTAGCCTCTTGGCTAGACAGCTAAATATTGGAGGGTACAGAGGGTATGGCCTGAGGTTTCTGCTACAAGGGAGACAGACATTATTCAAATTTTCTTTTCATCTTGTGACTAATGTTAGATGAAGTTTCACTGGAAAAAAGAAAACTCATCAAACTGGTTAGTGGGTTTATACTGGTAGTATTCATTTCTTCACTTATATACTGATTCAGCAAATACGTTTTGAATACTTGGAATGTCTATTTAATTAAAAGAGATCTGAGGAGTGATTGAAAAATGCATTAGTCATATTAATGAAGATTACTTTCTAGAAGGTACAGACATATTAGACTAAGAAATTTACAAGTGGTGGCCATAAAGAAAGGACAGACAAAATGCTTGGGCAGTTCAGAGTAAGAAGATTCTGGAAGCTTTGTAGATGAGGTGACTTTTGAACTTGACTTTAAAATATATTTAGGGTTTAGATATATGAATATGGTAATAGCATTATGGAATTGGGAAAAGGGCACAAATATGTAGACCATATTTCATCTTAACTTTGATCTTTTTTAGTGGAGAGATCTGAGATCAGTTAAGCTCTCCCAACCTCAATGAACTTATACAAAACAGCCATTTCTATAGGGATGCCTCAAAGGGGAATAATAAGGCTCAATAGATAAAAACACTGAACAAACCACAAATCACTGAGCAAAGTTCGGTTTTTTTAACTCTTCTTAAAATTTTTCCAACAGCAAATGCTGAAAGAACAACATGGCCAAAGACACTTGTTCAGGGGGAAAGAGACATAGGCAAAGAGTAGCAATTAATTGGGTTTGGCTGAGCAGTAAATGTGTGAAGGACAGTCCTAGAGACCAAGGCTTATTTGGAAACTTGCGTGGTATGCTGAAGAGTTTGGATTTAATTTGGTAGGCAGATAGCACTGGGAAGGTTTTGAGCCTGTGGCTTATGAAGATTAATTCTGCAGTACTCTTCAGGGTGAATGTGAAGAGATTCTTTATAGTTAAGTAGCCATTGCAGGCGAAGAGGTAATGAAGGCTTGAAATACATGAATGAGTGTGAAAATGAAAAGAAGGGCTGATGGAAGGGTTATTTTAGAGTAGACTCAGTGGAACTCATAAGAGTTTGATAGGAAAGGAAAGAATTAAAAATTACTAGAACATTTTGAGTAGAGGTGACAGGGAGGATGAAGGTGTCATCAACAGAAATTGGACAAAACAGGTTTGAGAAAGGAAACTTTGGGGTGGAAGAAAGGTGACTCAAGCAGAATGTTAGGAAATAATTTAGGGGTGGAAAGTTGTAGGAAGAAGAGAAGTCAATGAAGGACTCGAGAAGAATCAAAGAGAAGAGCAGTTGTTATTAAGAATGCCTTGAGGGGGCGCCTGGGTGGCTCAGTTGGTTAAGCGACTGCCTTCGGCTCAGGTCATGATCCTGGAGTCCCTGGATCGAGTCCCACATCGGGCTCCCTGCTCGGCAGGGAGCCTGCTTCTCCCTCTGACCCTCCCCCCTCTCATGTGCTCTCTCTCATTCTCTCTGTCTCAAATAAATAAATAAAATCTTAAAAAAAAAAAAAAAGGAATGCCTTGAGTAAATTATTCACAGTAAGTTAAAAATACTGGAAATTAATAGGAAATAATATTTTGCAAGTTGAAGTTTTGTATTTGGCATTAAGACTTTAGTCAGTATCTTTCTAGAAGGAAACTGGTAATCAAAACACTTGCTTACCTTCATGAGCTAATTAATTAATCTTATTTTTCAGTAATCAGACTCCATCCAGTTTAATTTTCCCCATATTAAACATTAGGCAGTGATTAATACTGAACTGCCTTCTATGAAAGCAAGGTAAAATGGAAACACCCCTAATTTGGAGATGGGTGTTAATATCTGACATTCCTAAGTGCATCTGAGTGCTGAAGAGATGACTGTGCTCTCCAGTATGTGCTTGTCACCCTCCACACAGGAAAATTATTCTTTAGTTGAGTGTTAAAGCTGCTGTCTGCCTGGCCTAATATCATGGTGATATGATATTTTTGAACTAATGATGAGTTTGTTGAGAAAGAGGTACCCTGTTGAGTATTTCATTGTCCTTACCCAAACTGATTCTTTACCCCACTTTGGTGATGCCCACCTTCTTCTACTAGTAAAACAAAGGTGAGAATACAAATTTTAGTACTCAGAGTACTAATTAACATGAGAAAACAAGTAGAAAGATGACAAAATGGTGGAGGAGCTAGGTGCTATAAAATGAGATTGTAGACCTTTGAAGACCTTTGGTTGTAGTCATAAATCTGGAAACTCTGTATGTAAGTCAATTTAAAAATCATCCTCTGCAATATCATGTGAAAACCACAATATGTCTGAAAGAGTGAGAAGCAATGGGCTTTAAACAAGTAGGTTACAAACTGTCATGCTCTGTAACAGGATTTATATGAAGGAGAAATAAAGTTATAAATTAGTGGGGCGCATGGGTGGCTCAGTCAGTTAAGTGTCTGCCTTCGGCTGAGGTCATGATCCAGGGGTCCTGGGATCGAGCTCTGTGTTGGGCTCCCTGCTCAGCGGGGAGTCTGCTTCTCCCTCTCCCACTGCCCCCCCCCACTCTCTCCCTCCCAAATAAATAAATAAAATAAAATAAAAAAGCTATCAATTAGTTAAATACTTTTGGAAAGATCATTTAGTTGAGATAGGATTTTGCTAGTAAACATTTTAAATTGACAAGGCTATAAAAATGTGTCTTCCTACAGACACGTGTGTTTGAACATGAATGTGAGTGGTCCGTTTGGTGCCAGGTTGGGAGAGGGAACGGCCCTATATAGGCAGTGCCCATTATGAACATCCGTGACTCTGCACCCACAATAAGAGAGCTGTTCTACATGCTGAGAGTCTAAGGAAAAACACAACAAGACTTCGGGACATTAGAAAGTAGTGCCTCTTCAGTGCACTTTGAAAAGTTGGCCCTGATTTTTAGGATACCCTCTGTCACTGGCACAACTTTAAGGATATCTGTTAGAGCTAGTTTTATTTCCATAAGGAAGATCAGGTTATAGAAATTACATGAACATCTGCAAAGGAAAAAAAACTATTTTAGTAAATGTGAATGGAAAGCACATGAATGGACCACATAAAAATCAGGCTGGGTGGACAACATTTGTTAAGGTGGTTTTGATTATCTTTATGAATCTCTCTACAGGACATGTAGAATGTCAAATTCACTGCTAGTATAGTAGGAAGCATCAAAGTGTGGAATTGAGAAATGTAGATTTTGACTCCCCTTCTGTGGTTTGGGAAAGTCATTTAACCTCTGTGGGCTTTATTCATTCACTTATTCATTCATAATTATTTCTATCTTCCTTCAACAGGCAACAGGCTTGTGCTTGGCCCTGAGGTTCCTCTTCTATAGACTAAGAAGGGATCTCTAAGTGCCCTTGCAGCTCTACTGTGTTATCAGTGAATGCTAATAACTGCTTGATGAGGGACTTCATAGATGCAGAACTACTTTTGGAGGATTGGAAGAATACAATTTGAATTAGGGAGAAAATGATGATTTGCACCAGGAAAGCAGTAGACACAAAACCATGGGGCTGGCCTAAGCCTTCACCAAGAAGAGCTAGAGTCTAGGATGATGCATAGAAAGAAGTCTGAGGATGAAGCAGGAGTAAGGGCTAGAAAGTTCGAAAGGATGATACTGACTAATCAGACCTCATGGTGGAGACAGTAAACCAAACACAGAGAACACAGGCAGACATCTCCTCCGTCCCACCTTCAGTTTCGGATAGATCTAACTAGGTTGGTAAAATGACTAGGCAGCATTGGTAGAAAATGATTTTATTACCAAAAGAAAAAAGAGCCTATGACTAAGTAACTTAATTGACCTTTACAGTATTTCTATGTCGTGGGAACATTTGCAGACAGGCAATTATGGGGCATTCTGACACCATGTGGGATTTTTTTTCTTCATTGAAACAGAGAAAGATAACATTATTAAATTTTTTTCAGTTCTGGAACGTAACTAACCATACACCTCTTCACTGCCCTTTTTTTTTTTTTCCATTTTTTTCTTTTTTTCTCTCTCTTGTGTTATAATCCTCTACCTGCATGAACTCCCCAACAGTCCTCAGAGTGAAAGAACTGAGCCACTTCTATAAGCACCGCAAAATACTCATTAGTTTAAGTTTGCAAATGCCAGAGGAACATTAAGTGAAATCCACCATACTCCTCTTATACAACACATTTGACCTCTAGATACGTTAAGAGCTTCATCCTCCAATGCTTTTAATTCTAATCCTTGCAGAGACGAAATTCATTGCTTGAATTACAAGAGTGAGTCTCATTAAGGCTAAAAAGCAGTGACCCAGATAGCATAATGGATTAATATGGCGACCTTGCAACTTTGGAGCTTTACTTTCAAATCTGACGGTGCAGTCAAATCATTTCAATAGTCAATTAATCAATTGGTTAATACCAGCCTGTAGTGTTCTGACCCTGGAAGTCAGTAGATCATTTTAGCCAATACTAGCCTACATGGAATTAAACTAAGAATCATAGTACATTTAACTCACAAAACCTTTCTTAAATGATCAGAATGAAAAAAACAGGGTTTTGTGAATTGCTATAATGCTGTAATCAGTAATAATTATATAATTTTGACACTCTAATAAGCATCAGTGTTTTGAAACTTATGCCATAAACATCTAATAATGATATATGTTTACATTCCATTGGTAAAGAAAGACTGTAAATATAATTAGTTGGGTCTTGAGTAATGAAATGTGATGTTGAATGAATTCTCACATTCTATTCTTTTAGTAACAGTGCCTTTAGAGTGATATATATCATTAGGGTTATTCTATTCTGGAGGGAGGTTGGGGGTTGAGGTGGAAATAGGTATAGTTCAGCAGGACATGCTACAGAATTTTTGAAGTCTAAGGAATTAAAAAAATTTTTTCCAGAAATATGTTTGTGAAAAACTATTCCTATCTTTGTTTTTGGTAGATGCAAGATATACGGAATCCGGAAGGAACTCAATATGGCTCCCATCCCCAGATGGCAGCCATGAGACCAAGGGGTCAGCCTGCAGACATCAGGCAGCAACCAGGAATGATGCAGCACAGCCAGCTGACCACCATCAACCAGTCACAGCTAAGTGCTCAGCTTGGCTTGAATATGGGAGGAAGCAGTGTCCCCCACAATTCGCCATCTCCACCCGGAAGCAAGTCTGCAACTCCTTCCCCATCTAGTTCAGTGCATGAGGATGAAGGCGATGATACTGCTAAGGTATGACTAGGTTATTTTTGGGACCTATAGGAAATGCTTGTTGCCTGAAAGGAGTATCCTTTAGCACCTTCCTTGACCAGAGGGAGGTACAAGTTTACATCATCCAAATGAGAAACATTGGTGGGGGACATACTTTTTTTAATGAAGCGTGAGGTTACAAACTGAATAGATTAAATCGCTTGCTTTCCCAATTACATTTTTAAGTCCCTAGTAAATCCTTCAAATATAGATGTATTAAGCATGAAAGTAGATGTCACCCACAAAATGTAGGGTCTGCATAGTGAATAGGGAGAATAAGTCTTATAGGACTCAACATCCAAAATTAAGCTTAATTCACCACTCATTCAAAAAAAATCTATTTCAATTGAACAATTTTATTTTAAAAAGGCAAACTCTCTCAGGGATACAATGGTGTGTGTGTGTGTGTGTGTGTGTGTGTGATGGTCAGATGAAGCCTTTGAGATTATCCAACCCAACCATTTCATACTGAGCATGAGGAAGGTAAGCACCAGGGATATTCTATGACTCCCTTCCATAAGCAAAAGCCTGGGTGTTTCCTTGCTTACTTTTTGTGGACCCCTTGCCAACATGGCTGTCTGTCTGTCTCTCTGTGTCACATTAAGTTATCTATATAGGAAGACAGGCCTTAAGTGTTCTTAGATTGGAAGATTAGCTATAGGAGGTTTTAGTTCTTTAAAATATCCCAGGCAATGTACTGTATGGTGACTAACATAACATAATAAAAAATAAATAAAATAAAATAAAATGTCCCAGACAGCGTTTTTAAATGACTAACCAAAACCAAGTGCCTTTTCACTCAAAAACACCAAAATAATCTTTTCATTGCCTCGGTTGTCAGTCAAGCATCTTCCAAATTTGTCCCAGTGAGAAAGGACCCTTGTGCCCATTTACCATGAGAAACACTCACAGCTACAGCTCCGTATTTCCTATTCCACCCCCTTTGTTCCTTTAATCTTACTAATGACTTGTCACTTGTGTCAGCCCTTTGTTTTCTTTTGACTTTTGCAAGAATTTTGTTTTGGGGAAATTACTCTGTCAACGTGCTACCAAAAGCAACACAATGGGAATCTGACCTATATGGTTACCTTTCCAATAATTCCACTATTTCTTGAGCCTGATGATAAAGACAAGGCTGCTGCATTGACTATCTTTTATTATTTTCAGTATTCTTAATGCTCTGGCATTTGGGGTCTTGATCCTAAAAAAACACTACTCCTTCCAGGGCTAGCTAATTCCGACAGATAGAATATGACTCCCCTGGGAGCATACTTTTGATAAACAAACCAGCCAATCCAGAGCGCACACCCTGTCATCTCCTTTATCAAACTCACAGCAAGCCAGTATATTCTCACCGCCCTAAGTCACCCCAGGACCTGGTACCAGACAACTAAGAACCGCCTCTGTAGCCCATAGCCCACGGAAATTGTTCAAACCATAGCCAACCCTTGACTTACTCAGCATACCTACCGTGCCTCAACCATTCCTACCCACAAAAAAAAACAATAAAAGCTCTGGGGTGTGCTTTCATGCTCTGCCCTTTCTCTGTGTCTGCCTCCTAAGCCATCTTTTTTTTTTTTTTTAAGATTTATTTATTTATTTATTTGAGACAGAGAGAATGAGAAAGAGAGAGCATGAGAGGGGGGAGGGTCAGAGGGAGAAGCAGACTCCCTGCCGAGCAGGGAGCTGGATGCGGGACTCGATCCTGGGACTCCAGGATCATGACCTGAGCCGAAGGCAGTCGCTTAACCAACTGAGCCACCCAGGCGCCCCCTCCTAAGCCATCTTGAATGCTATGTTGCGCCTTCCATTTCTAGATATATAAATAATATAATATATAATAATTATAATAATATAATAAATAATATAAACTTCTTCCTTCATGACAGTTATTTCTTTATCTGCTATCTTAACCACCCCCGATTAGAACAGATCCTGACTACATTTTAGAAGAGCTGTGTAACTAAACATCATTGACCATACTGGTCCTCTCCGCCTTAACAAGCTTTTCCCTGTTGTTCAGTGAACCACTCTCTCATGAAGTAAGGTAAAAAGGCAGGAGACTAATTGATATTACATAAATAATGAATTGGGCTAGTGACGACCTGACCTTTAGCTGATTATTTAGAGGGCAAGATAATTTTCTTAAGAAAATGTGTATTATTCTAATGGAATTAACGGTCAATGAGTACCGGGACCTAAATGTGAACACCAAGAATTTGGTTGTGGCCGGTGATTTTGATATTGGTTTCTGCATGGATAATTCAGGTTAATTTGGCAAACATAAATGATATGTACTCTATTGCAAAGGAAAAAAAAATTCATGTTCTGCCTATAGTAAAGATCAATTTGTGCATCTGGATTATATCTTTATCAGTATTCTTTGCTGACATTTCAGGAAATTAATGAAAAATTAAAATCTTCTGACAGTAAATTCTATGCAGGATTATCTTACTTACAATAGCATTTTCCACACTCTTCAACTTATATGACGAGAAGACTGAGTAGAAACCAGAAATTCACATAATTAACATTCACAGATTCTGCCATTTCCTATTGCCCCATAAGGTCCATATCTTGTAATTTTGCTGAAGCATGAATTTGTTATGTTAGGCGGTTCCAAGCTGGTGTGAAACTTTGCCGACAGATATCCTATCCAATCACTCAACATCCACATCATAAAATAATTTATAGCTCATCATTAATGATTGTACAAGCACTGTATAGTAGAACTTATATGCTGTAGTGTTATATTCTTGAATTGGCAGTGTGTAAGTCTTAGGGATGGATTTCTCAAGAATGTCCTCATTAAAATGGCTTTTTGTCTATACAGATATTCTCAAGTTCATATTTAGTGTAAGCGTATTTTCCATCTCAAGAAAATCTACCTTCCACTCCAGCTCTGCACACTGTTCTTCACCTTCTCTCTGATCCAAGCTCTTCCTAACCATTTATTCAAATTATATTTATTAAATGGCAAAAAAAAAAAAACCCAACCTTGGTGAAAATGCCCAAGCTTTCTTCATCACAGTAAAAGACTAAACTGGAATTTTTCCCTTTATATGTGAGCAGGATTTATGTGGAATGTTGAATTACCACAGTTCCAGTTAAATGTGAAAGAGCATTAAGTCAAAAAGATCACTTAAAGCATTTCTAGGGGCGCCTGGGTGGCTCAGTCGTTAAGCGTCTACCTTCAGCTCAGGTCATGATCCCAGGGTCCTGGGATCGAGTCCCGCATCGGGCTCCCTGCTCGGCAGGAAGCCTGCTTCTCCCTCTCCCAGTCTCCCCTGCTTGTGTTCCCTCTCTCGCTGTGTCTCTCTCTGTCAAATAAATAAAATCTTAAAAAAAAAAAAAAAAGCATTTCTAACAAGAGAAGTAAAAAAGAATATTTAGTCTCATACCAGAAAAAAAAAAAAGCTTTTAAAACATCCCTCTTCACACTTTGAGCTCTTGTAAGCAATTACGTATTAAATCCAGTTTATCTAATTGAACAATTAAAAGAAATACGTTTGTTTTGACAGAGAAATCGTGTCAATACATCAGTAAAATAAATTATCACCTTATAAACACGACCCATGGTTCTGATTGCTATGGAGCTGTGTTGACAGCCTCAAGTCATAAACTAGACGTACAGTAAAATATCAAAGAAATATAAACTTGGGTAGCTTGTGGTTCTAAGCCTGTAATCCCGGACTTGTAATACAACAGACTCGGTAAGACACTCAAAGTATCCGGCATTAGAATGATATTTTTAGGACAGCATTCCCTTTCGGAAAATTACGAGCTAAGAATCACAGTGTATCTTTTTCCATCATTTTTACTTTCAACTTTTCTGCTTCAAGTATCCTTAAGTTTTATATAGGTCCCTTGTAAATGGCATAGAATTAGACAATCTTTATTTTTATATGAAACTGGCTTTATTTATATTCATATAATCACTAAAATATTTGGGTTTATTTCTCCGTTTAAGTATGTTGCTTTTTATTTGTCCCACATGTTGTATGTTTCTTTTTCTCTTTACCCTCTCTTTTTCTCTACGTTTTAAAGATTGTTCTTGTTTTTCTCATTCCATAGTTTTCCATGGTAAGATTGGAAATTTTATCCTTTCTCTTCATTTAGTAGCTACCTCTGACACACAAAAGCCTAAAATTCTAACACTGATCGATATCTTCACTCTTCTTATATTATTTAACTCCCAACACCTCCCTTCCAATTTGTACTAGAGTAATTATTGCTGTTGGTTTTTTTTTTTAAGATTTTATTTATTTATTGACAGAGAGAGACACAGCGAGAGAGGGAACACAAGCAGCGGGAGTGGGAGAGGGAGAAGCAGGCTTCCCGCGGAGCAGGGAGCCTGATGCGGGGCTCCATCCCAGGGGATCATGACCTGGGCTGAAGGCAGACGCTTAACGACTGAGCCACCCAGGCCCCCTCTTGCTGTTGCTTTAATCATAATTTAATTAAATTATGTAATTTAATAAACTCTATGAAACATGATTTTGATTATTTTTACAGCCTTTTTTCCTTCAGTTTTTTTTTTACATATTTAGTATTTTCTTTCATCTGACATCATTTTCCCCTATGCCTTCAAATTTTTCTTTCATGAGGATATATTGGGAACACGATTGCCTTAAAAAGTACTCTCACTGTGGATGGAATCTTAGACTGATGATGATTCTCTTCTATCCTAGTGAAGATATTCTATTATTCCATAATATCCTGATTTTCATTATTGCTTTTGAGAATTCTACTGCTTCACTGTCTTTTCTTAGAAAGTAATCTGCCTTTATTCTCTGACTAGTTTTAAGGTCTTCTCTTGCCTTTGGTATCCTGCGGCTTCCTTGTGATGTGTGTGGGTCTTTAAATTTATTTGTGAATTTAATATTTCTATTCTACATCAGTCCTGGGAAATTTTCAGCCATTCATGTTTTTCAGATATTGACTCTACCCCATCCTTGCTCCCTTGTCATTCTGTAATTCTG